TTCTCCTTATATCGCACACCTTGCCATAAATATCTGCAAATTATCCTCCCATAAATCCGGCCTGCGTACCACGAATAATTTGTGGTCCAATATTTCAGAAAAATTCCGCGCGGTCTAAGTTATATATCAACCAACTTTGTATTTTAGGATATTAATTTCCCGTCTGCGTTCGTATTACTACAGTCATATATATGTATATATACATACTCCTAACCGTAGCAGGTCATAGTGAAGCATTTCATAAAGAAGTCAGTCTAAAATATGTTACAAGAAATCTGTTAGTTACTTTTTTGGTAAATGTCTAGATGATGGCCCCCACCCCCTTTGAGGGGAATCGAAAGAGGAGGTCTCCCCTACCACTGTACCATAAAAAGTTCGTGACGGTCTCAGCCCCATAATAAGTTATGGGGGTTACATGGGGGTGGGGGTAGGGGGGATCGAAAGAGGGTAGCGGGGATCGAAAGAGGGTGGTCACCTGAGTAAAACCCCATAAAAAATTTGCGGCGGTGTCACCCTCATAAAAAGTTATGGGGGTTGAAAGTTGATTATTTTGACAATTTTCATACACTATAATTCAAATCAAAATCAATAAAAAAATATTTTCAAATGGGTGGAGGTGGGGGATCGAAAGACGGTGGTCACTTGAACAAAACTCGATAACCTAACCTAACCTAACCTACCCTATTGATAAAGATATTTAAATAATGTTTATATAACTTTCTCAATATTTTTATGTATTTTTCCATTAGTTTTACCTTTGAATATTGTTTAAGAATGACTATACAAATATTTACATGAAATGTATAAAAATTGGCATATTTATTAACTTTGAACCCCTATAACTTTTTAAGGGGGTGAGACCGCCACGAACTTTTTATGGTACAGTGGTGGTGGAGACCTCCTATTTCAATCCCTCCCATCGGGGGTGGGGGGCCATCATCTAGACCTTTACCCATCCTACATCTTTAATGATTTGTAATGGATAATCTAGGTCTACCTCTACTCCTCTTAACTCATGTTTCTGCTTTTAATATGTCAGTTAATAGCTAATAAAAAGAAGCTCGAAGTTGTTTCATTATTAATAGGCACATTCTTAGGACATCCTGTGCATAAATGGATATTTAAATCAAATTGAAAAAGTTATGTTTGAAAGTTAAATAATCTTACCGAGAAAGGTATAAAATATACCTAGACCTTATTAGAATGTTATTTTATCGCTGAATGTAAACTTTGAAATTTGTAATTATGATGTTGTTCAACAATAAAGAGTTGGAGAGGTTCTTGTGTTATTGATGAGACCGTAGTGATTATCCTTAATTGAGAGCGGAAATCCTAAAACGGTAGGATGAGATATGGCGCAAACGCGAACCCTTTGTGATCGTTTATTTCCGACGACATTCGGTTCTCTCTGCTTTTGAGCGTGTCGACCACGCGGTTATTTAGTCTGTAAACAATGAAGTCGATAATTGGTGTGTTGTTTATCGTTGTCAGTTCAGTGCACGTGTGACATCGGCGTAAACGATCTAAGGCCGAAATGGCATCAGAGAATGAACTGTTTGCCACGGACTATCCGTTCAAGGGTCAGTCGGAAGAGAACGTGTGTCCTTACAGTCCTGAACAAGTCTTTAACAACCCCTTGATGGAGGAGGACGAAAGACAAAGGATACAAGAATTAAATCGAACATATTCCTGGCACGAACATGTTTATAGAAAAGTTAATGCACGGCCAACACCCCATTTCATCGAAAACATCCTTGGCATTCAAACCAAAAGGACAACATGTCCTGACGACGTTCTTCAGAAGGACGACTCTTCCTTACTCCAAGGATTTTTACCGGCGGAAGTTTCTAAAGTGACTGTTGCAGTGCAAGATGCCAATGAACCATTGAACTTATCAATTAAAAGTGATAAACCAGGACCAAAGACTGTACACCGAGGTGGGTTTCATTAACATCCACATTATCTACCAAAGATACGACCGCTACCCTGAAAACCACAGAAACCGTAAACCTTTCCTGTTTTTCAACTTCTTCGTCAAGTTCATGTATGATATATACCACATCTACATAAAAATGATTCAAAACTACGAACCCCATACTTCATCCTGCAGCTTTAATAATTTTCCTTCTTTCGGGAAATTCACTTGTTGAATGTCCCTAGCAAAAGATTAATAAATACAAAAACATTTATTATTAATCGAACCAACTTGTACAAAGTTTAATTGTTTTCGTTCTCTTTCAACTTAGTACGAAAGTACTCTTTTATAAACGCTTTGATTTTTTTGACTTAACGTAAAGGTATCACACGACGGTAGCTATTATCGGGATATTCGATCGACCCATTGAGATTACATTAAAGTGATTATTACCGTACTTGTAATTTGCTTTAATTCAAGCGTGAATTTCAAAAGGAATAAAACAGTACCTCTTAGAGATGCCTCTTAGAAGGGCCTTTACAAACGCCGAAGGGTAAGCGTAACTGAAGGATTACACTCAGCCAAAAATAGAACACAACAAATAGTGACAAAAGCATTTCAACCGAGCAAATATTATCCTCGTCGTATGTCAATTAATAATAAACTAACCATTTGCTATTATTATTTAATTAAAATGTGCCCCAGAGGCTGCCCCGGGGTGGTAGTACCTAGTAATTGTTTCGTTTGTTGCAGATCAGCCAAAGAAACGAAAAAAATTAAAATTAGGCGAAGCTTTAATAAAAAAATCGACGTTTCTCCCTCCCGATCTGACAGTTGCCCCCTCAGACGAGGGGGATATCAAGAAAAAGAAAAAAGCTCGAACTACTTTCACTGGGAGGCAAATTTTCGAATTAGAGAAACAATTCGAACTCAAAAAGTACCTGAGCAGCAGCGAACGATCGGAAATGGCAAAGTTATTAAACGTAACAGAAACACAGGTCAGTAATAAATTATTTTATCAGATACAGTTTTTGTGGTGGAGGTTGTTTACGAATAGGTACGTTTAAACAAAAAAACTAACAGCAGGTAATTAGGAAAATGACAATAATCTCTGTATTCGTATTTCTTATCAACCGAAGTATGTTATTTATATCTTTACATCCGTTAATGGTAAACCGCATAAGTTAAAGGAATATTAAAAACTATCACGTCGCAGTTGTTTTTTCTTTCAACGAAAATATTTACAAAGTGGGTTCACAAATGAAAGTTTTAATGTTGCATTTTTTATTTCGGTTCGAAAGAATCGAGTATAATTGATCTGTTTCCTATCAGAATTGTCCTAGTGTTAATTTTTGAGCGCCTTACCTCAAATCAATAGCAATTAGGAACTAATTACAGCACACACTGCAAAATATCTTCATTAAGCGAGCAATTAGCGTCGCTACAAATGGGGGGTGAAATTATGAGAATATAATTATTAAGTTGTGTAGAGGAATTCTTTAGCCATTATGAATGTAGACGATCAAATTAATTATAAGTTGTTCGTGTTTTCTGTATGAACTGCTTTTTAAAATTAATCGAATATAAAACGAACCAGAAATCTTCATGGATCGAATTAAATTAGAAATCGAAATTTAGGATTTTCTTGTATTATTTCGCAAATCGCTGTTGTTTAAAAATTACTTACAATTAGTTATTTAATGATTTTACGATAAAATTCTTTATTGGAAAATTTACCATTTAATACTAATTGATGATAAAGGGGTAATAAACATGATTACTTTTTGAATAAATGTTGCGTTGTTATTGTTTTCTGACATGAGCTTCGTTTTCCAAAATAACAATAGTTAAAATGTTATACAGAGAAATTAAATATTATTGTAAATCGAACTTCTGGATTTTCGTAAACGATCAGTAGGTAAAAAGCAATAAAGAGAACTATATGGACTGGTTTAACTAAGTGAAATTTGTGTCAATCATGTTTAAATATAAACAGTTTACAAATTTAGACGAATTTAATGTGTGATACTCGACTCAGTAGGCTGTAGAACTTTATTTGAGGATTTAATAGCCACTTTGTTTTAGCGGCAGTAAAATTGTGATTTAAACTACAGTTAATCGAAATTTCCGTTGTCATCCGTAATGCTACAGTAAAATTTGTTTATTTCAAAAACTGATCTCATATACATACATATTCTGATCAATCTTTTATCGGCCTATATAACTACAGGTGGTTTAGGCGTAACAATACCATTCAAAATTTAATTTTCCCACCAAGTATTTTTTGTCACATCAAATGTTTTCTTAAAATTTTGCCTTCTACATTTACGTTGTTTTTTTGTTTTTTTTTTTTGAAAAAATATCTGGTTATAAGAAAAAAAATAATCATCTTTTATAACGTACTCGGTTATGACGAACCAACATGGAAGTATCACATTAACATCGACTATAACGATCTGATCGAAATTAGAAACTAATGCAGATGTTTCATTAATGAAGATTTCTGTAAATACAAAGTTATTTTTTGGTGTTTATAAAAAATATAGTCATCCGTCATAGCGTATACGGTTATGATGAATCAATATGGAACTAACGAACTTATCGAATTTAGAAAGTTATGCAAATGTTTCATTAATGAAGACTTCAGTAAATATTAAGTGATTTTCTGGGGTTCAAAAAAATATAGTCATTCGTTATAACGTACTCGGTTATGACGAACAAGTGTAGAAGTGTCACATTATTTTCAGCTGTAACGAACTTATCAAACTTAGAATCTTATGCAGATGTTTCATTGATGAAGACTTTTCAGTAAATATAATGTGATTTTCTGGAGTTCAAAAAAAATATAGTCATCCGTTATAGCGTACTCGGTTATGACGAACCAATATGGAAGTAACGAACTTATCGGAATCAGAAACTTATGCAAATGTTTCATTAATGAAGATTTCAGTAAATATGAAGTTATTTTCTGGGGTTCAAAAAAATATAGTCATTCGTTATAACGTACTCGGTTATGGCGAACCAGTGTAGAAGTATCACATTATCTTCAGCTGTAACGAACTTATCGAACTTAGAAACTTATACAGATATTTCATTGATGAAGACTTTTCAGTAAATATAAGGTGATTTTCTAGAGTTCAAAATAATATCTATAGTCATCCGTTATAACGTACTCGGTTATGACGAACAGGTGCGAAAATGCGATATTATCTTCGACTGTAACGAACTTATTGAAATTAGAAACTTACACAGATGTTTCATTGATGAAGACTTTTTAGTAAATATAAAGTGATTTTCTGGAATTTAAAAAAAATATAGTTATCCGTTATAGCGTACTCGGTTATGACGAATCAATATGGAAGTAACGAACTTATCGAAATTAGAAACTTATGCAAATGTTTCATTGATGAAGTCTTCAGTAAATATAAAGTGATTTTTTGGAGAAATAGTCATCCGCTTCGGTTATGAAGAACAGTTGTGAAAGTCCGACATTATTTTCGGCTGTAACGAACTTATCGAAACTAGAAACTTACGCAGATGTTTCGTTAATGAAGATTGTTCAGTTCAGTGCATTTACATATAATTACTTAGTTGATATAGGCGACGCGTGTTAAAAACGAAGCCTTTAATCAAAAATAAATATCATTATTGCCAATTAAAAGTATCGTCTTAAAATTTTTGTAAATTCTACCGTAAAGTGAGTTTTCTCGTGAACAAAGCTGAGATATTGACTGATTTAACAATTAGATTAAAAAAAAGTATTTTTTGTTTAAAAAAACACTTTAACGTTGGGATGTTATGATGATATTTAACAAGTCTTAAAAGAGCACTTGTTTCATTCGAAATTAATTGGTTTTGTGAGGGTAGTAGCAGCGTTTTAAGAGGGGTTGCAGAATGACGAAGAATAATATTCATTGTTTAACGATTTTCGCTTTCGCCCACGCCGGTATTTTGCTCAATGAAATAAAACAGGAAGAACTGCTTTAAGAAAGACAGAGCAGATTTCGAGAAATTAGCGGAATAAATGCGAGTACATGCGACAGCGTTATTTATAGAGTCAAACTGTCCGAGTGGATTGCACCAAAAGTAATAGCTAATGCACATAGCGCCTAATTATACCGCTAACATAACTTGTCTTTGTAAAGATCCCATATCTCAAACACTCAGCCGCCTTCACAACTTACTTTCAGTGTGTCTTTCATGTTAAATTAGAAGATGAAAGAGTTCACAAGCATTTAAATATAATCTCGCTGCTGCGCCCAGCTCTTTCGCACTCTCAATTGCTCATTCACTACGATATCCATTCTTTATTTAAATAGTCTCTTGGCAGCTTTTCTTACTACAACAATAAATCCTGAATTTTCTTACTTCCCCGGAATCGTTAAACAAGTTATTTTCTAACGAAAAATCTTCTTCTATCGAACCCTTCCGCTAATAAATACCCTTTTTTATTAACGCAATAACGAGTGGCGCAACTAATTTTGCTTCGCGAAAATCTCCCTGCGTCCCTTTTTTAAAAAAGAAATGTATCTATTATAAGCATAAATCTTTGCAAAATCATGTAGAAAAATAAAATTTATTACGGTGCCCCTTGCGTTGCTACGCGCCTCCCCACCACCCCCCAATGTAAACTAAATAATATTATAATACCTCACGTTCAATAGTGTGAACTGAAGAAAAACAACAGCTAGGTATTCGTATTATCGATTTTTCAAGATAACGAATGTACTCTTTAATAAACATCTATAAAATCAACAAAAAATATAAAAGACAGCAACAAATACAGCTGAACTTGGCTTTAACAAACACTTTTAACTTTTCTTTGTAAAGTCGACCTGAAAAATCATGAATGTAACTTTAAAATTCTCACATTTTCGACAAATTGTATATAGACGATCGCATTTCTTGATCAAAAACTATGTTCAAAACAAAGTGCCTGATACTTTTTAACATACAGATCGGCTGTAGCGAACATTTTTGAATGGGAAATTAAGTGACTTTTCTTTGTAAGATCGAACTGGAAAATCATGAATGTAACTTCAAAATTCTCACGTTGTTCTAATGTTGAACCTTTTATATTTCAAATTTTCGACAAATTGTATATGGTTATACAGACGATCGCATTTCTTGATCAAAAACTATGTTCAAAACAAAGTGCCTGATACTTTTTAACATACAGATCGGCTGTAGCGAACATTTTTGAATGGGAAATTAACTAACTTTTCTTTGTAAGATCGAACTGGAAAATCATGAATGTAACTTCAAAATTCTCACGTTGTTCTAATGTTGAACCTTTTATATTCCAAATTTTCGACAAATTGTATATGGTTATACAGACGATCGCATTTCTTGATCAAAAACTATGTTCAAAACAAAGTGCCTGATACTTTTTAACATACAGATCGGCTGTAGCGAACATTTTTGAATGGGAAATTAAGTGACTTTTCTTTGTAAGATCAAACTGGAAAATCATGAATGTAACTTCAAAATTCTCACGTTGTTCTAATGTTGAACCTTTTATATTTCAATCTTCGACAAATTGTATATGGTTATAGAGACGAACGCAATTCTTTATCAAAAACTACGTTCAAAACAAAGTGCCTGATACATTATAGTGCAAAAACATTAGATAACCATCCAGTACTTTCTGTCGCTTTCACTTGGATGAGTTTTATTTTTATGCAATGTTTGTGTATTTCTGAAATACATATTATTGTATAAAAGGTGGCGATTTGTTTTAATTATTAAGGTATTAATTAAAATCGCGGTTGTAACAAAGAGTAAAGAAATCATTATTTGTAATATTAAATATTGAAGTTCTAAACTTTATTATTTTTGAACATCGTTATTCACTTTTATTATAATTTGATATCTGCCAGGTTTAATTAGGTTTCGGCGCTTGATTGTACCCAACACTAAAGTGGGGTAATTATTTCGATGATATTTTACAATGTGAGCATTATCATTGACTGTTGTCATCTAGGAGAAGTGACCCAAA